TCTTCAAGATTTAGACAGAAGATTGTTTCACAATTGTGATGTCAAAGGTGTTGAGCTGGCCACCGCACTCACTTGTGTTGCTTATATGCATCCTGAAACTGCTCGAAAGTTTTCTTTAGATTCTCTGCAGTTGGTCACACTTGTTCCAAGATTGTCATCAAAAGATGGTGTGAAGACTCCTGATAGTGATGCATTGAGAGTGAAAAGTGCCTCTCCCAAGGAAGCTAACAATGGAACTTTAACTGACAAGAAAGAATTTCATCAAGCAATTGTCCGCCTTTTGTTTTCCGATTCAGTGGCTAAAGGACATGTAATGATAGCTCGATCCCTTCGTTTGTATTTGAGAGCAGGGCTGCATTCATGTATGTTAATTATTCTGAGCACTCATTGATCTTATCTATGTTCCTTTATACTGTTTTATTTGCTTTTATGTGAACCTTCATTATTAGCTTTAAAATGCTTCAATAAGGATTTTGTTCCTCTCTTAACAATTATGACTACACAATTGATTTCTTTATGCCATACTGTGCAGTTTTGAATTTAGAATATTCTTTTGTTTCCAGGGATTTATTTAAAGGGATGCATTACTGATTTGAAGGACATTGCATCACTTTCACTTTCTCCCTGTTACTTTAAGATGCTTGGACAAGATAAGTCTGTTGAGAAGGCTGGTCTAGAACTGATTGACATCGATAAACTTCAGAAACCAAGAAAAACTAGCTTGGACACCTATATGGATGCTGTAGATTGGTCAATCCACGACAAAATTATTGCTGCTCTGTCACAAGACATTCCTTCTAAACAGGAAGAAGAAACTGGTTATCTGCCTGATAATAGAAAGGGATTGAGAAGACTTCTTCAAGCATGGTATCGTGCACAGCTTGATGCTATTTCTTCAACTTCTGGGGTGGAAGTTAATTCTTTAATTTTAGGTAAAGAAACTTTACTTCACTTTGAAGTGAAAGGATATGACTTTGGGATTGATAGGAAGACTAGGGAAAAGGCATCTTCTTATTCAAATGGATCTCTAAAGAACAGAAATAACACTGGTGAAATGCAACTTGAATTCTTGTATGTACTGAGTATTCCTGAGGAATCTGTGCACGGAATAAAGATGAATGCATACAGTCTTGCCTTCGATGAAAGAAAAAAGGATAATCTTGGAGTAGGGTTGTTTGAAAGGCTGAAACTAGGTGGCCCTGTGTCCTTCTATTCTTTGAAGGAAAGTAACTCTTTTACAGGGTTTAGTTCAAATGCATCATCTTTGAGCTGGATGGGGACAACTGCTTCTGATGTGATTAACAGTAGGTACTTTCTCTCTATGCTTCTATTTGCAGTGCTTGATGTTCTCAGGGAAGCCTTTATCATGTGAAATTTTGTAGTTCATGAGCATATAGTGTAATGATCTACATTCCTTTGTTATATATATTGTCCAGATGCTAACAGAACACATACACATGATAATGAGGAAATAATGACAATCTCTACTGTCATGTTTGTTAAGACATGGAAGAATCTCAAGGTGGATGTTGTAGCCAGTTTCCCGCGCACAATACTGGATACCTTCTTTCTGCATTGATATTAACTTTTCTTAGCATGTCGAACTGGGGTCAGTAATTGTCTAGTTGCACTTTCACCTTGATCTTCTTCCGTTCTTGACAGAGTGACTGTTTGAGTAAATATTTATGTGGTGAACCTTTTCTTTGGTTTTGGTGAATTGGGATTTTCTTAGAGCCCGTAATCATGTGTTCTATAATTGTTGTTTGATCTAAAAGAAAAAGAAAAAGAAAAAGCAAAAGAGAAGTTCGGATTGTTAAGGACTGTTTGTTTTACTAGCTGGACTAGTGTATACAGTCTATCTAATGCTATTTAGAATTGAAGTTAGCTTTATTTCTTAAAGTTTTGTCGTGGCTTTCTCCTGTATTCTCTCTTGGTCTTTTTTTTTTTTTTAATCACGATGCTTGATTATTTTGTGTTTGCATGCATCTTTGTATTGTGACAAAGTAGCTTGATGAAACATCTATGGATTGATTTTCCCAATATTGTTGCTATAACATGGCCATGCCAAACTGCATCATGTGATTGTGCTGGCACCCTATGCAGTTCTCAGTTTTTATTGTGCTTAATTTTCCTACTACTAACACGCACATGCCCCATCAAGGTATAAAGAATTTTCTCCTTTCCTTGTTAATAGTTTAAGTTGATTACAATTTTATCTCAATGCAGGATTGATGGTGTTGTTATATCCTCCTTATAGCACGTGGTTTAGTACATACAATCTTCCTCTGCCTGGGCACATTCTGATATATGGACCTCACGTGAGTTTTATCTCTTTGATTTTAGTGAAGTTATCTATAATTTGATGTGTGATATACAAAATATGCTCATTATCACTGTCAAACAAACATGGCTGCACTACACACAATAGTTGTATCATCCACGTTGTCTGTTTGGTTCAATTGTATGGAGATTTTCATCTTGAAGATGAATGAACTTCCTTATAGGTTTTAGATGCAGATTATTCGTGTCATATGTCAGGGAACATGTTTAAATCACATGGTTAATTTTTGTCACCCTATGCCTAAGGGAATCAAATGTGCAAGCTGCCGGTTTAAGATGTGTAGATACGCTTATTTTGAACTATCACTGAGATACTGAGAATCGACAATATTGTTTTCATCCATGCAAAAAAAGACTACCTCTATCTGCTTGAAATTGTAACAGGTATCATTTGAATGTTGAAACAGGTATTAGTAACACAAATAGATGAATGGGTGCAGATTGACTTTCTCTGAAAAAGCTTTATTGTTTATGTATTTGCATGGTGTTCTATGTTTGGATGGTGACTGGTGAGAAGTGTCATAATCTCTAAAAACGATTATTGCCCCGATTATTGCCCCTATATTATTTTGGGATCAAGGAGTCTTTTTGGCATTTTTTGTTTTTGAGCTTCAGTTGCATTTAGAGGTTTGTATTGATGTACCAAATGACAGTGGACAGATGAAGAATTTGAGGGTAGTGAAGATGTCATGGGAAGAGGTAAGGGAGAGAAAAAGACCAAAAGACAGCAGAAATAGGAAAAGAGAAATGTAATGTTAAATCTCACGTCAATTTGCCAATCTTGGAAGAGGGTATGCCAAAACATATGATAAGATGTTATAAAGGCATCAAGAACCTAATAGAATTTCAAATCAAGTTAGATTCTGATTATACACTGGAAAACATGTCCATGCCACTAAACTGGAAATACATTAGTAAGGAGTTCCCTAATTACAATTTAAAATGCGAGATAATCAAATAAAACCAATTTTGTATTAATAATCCTAAATCCTACTTTGCTTCTTGTCATGAGAATTTAGTTGCATCAGATCTTGTCTTTTCTAGAGAATGGAAGATGACCTTATTTTTTTTTTTTTTTTATCTCTATTTCCTTCTCTCCTTGTTTCTAATGATTTATTCAAGAATGAAATTCACCAAAAAATCTAAAAATATATAGAACAATCAGAAGTGTAATCAAGTTCATAGTCCTTGACTGTTCACCAATGGAACTAAATCCTTCATTTCTATTATCTGGATTTTGGCATGTTGATAAGTCTACATGCTCAATTGTGTATTTTTTTGTCATTGCTTTATCATACAAATCAAACATATTATTCCAAGAGTCATGTATCAGTTAATACAAGAGATTGAAATGTGTTTGCTTTTTAGGGTTCTGGAAAAACAACTTTGGCAAGAGCTGTTGCAAAATCCCTTGAAGAGCGTGAAGACCTCTTTGCCCACATGTGAGGAATTCTATTTTAACACATTTATGCAACTGTCTGTTTTTTTCTTCCTTTTGACTGGTAATCGAATCTATCAAATCTTTGTCTGTGTTAATTCATGTGAACAAATTTAATCATAACAAGGCATAAGGGGGGCACACACAAACACATCTTTTTTTGTATTGCTCTAATTTAGTTTTGTGCATGCAGAGTTTTTGTAAGCTGCTCTGGACTCACTTTAGATAAAGCCTCGGCCATTCGTCAAACCCTTTCTGCTTCCATATCTGAAGCATTAGATCATGCACCTTCCCTTGTCATCTTTGATGATCTGGATACCATTGTGTCAGCCTCTTCTGACTCTGAAGGATCACAACCTTCAACATCAGTTGTTGCACTGACGAAATTTCTCTCAGATTTTATAGATGAATATGGGGTAATAAATTCGTCGTGGTTTTTCCTGTCTTCCTGAATTGATAATATTGAAGCCATTGTAAATGTGTGTTCTGTTTTACTTTTGCATACAATGTGCAATTGGTCGGTTCCAATGACAGTGCCTTCGTATGCATGCATAATTATGATTGATTGGAAAACATCCACACTAGTAGAGGAACATTGGTTTCAGGTGACAAATAACACAAAATGGATCTGTTCTGAACATGAAGATTTAATATGGCAATTTACAGGAAAAAAGGAAGAGCACATGTGGAATTGGCCCAATTGCCTTTATAGCCTCTGTGCAGACTTTGGAGAATATTCCACAGTCATTGAGCTCTTCAGGTCTGTTACTTTTGCACTTAGAAAGAATGCTGTGAAAGGTTTCAGGTTACTAACACTTTCCTTTCTCTTCAATTTGTCTTTTTTATACTGGTTTTGTGTATTTGGATGTTTTCAGGAAGGTTTGACTTCCATGTGCAACTGCCTGCTCCTGCTGCCTCAGAACGTGAGGCTATATTGAAGCATGAAATCCGGAGGCGTTCCTTACTGTGCTCTGATGACATTTTGCTTGATGTGGCTTCCAAATGTGATGGATATGATGCATATGATCTGGTATTTGTTGTGATTCTGGATTTGGGATGTATCAACATTTTGTTCCTTTACTTTCTTCTTCTTCTGTTTTTTTTTTTTCCCTCACAAATATATCATCTAAAATGATGATTTTGCAAGACAGTAAATCATTCTAAGTGGAAAAATCAACAATTCATATGAAGGAATAACTTTTTTAGTAACAAAAATTCATGAAAGAGCATGAATCAAATGCTGACATTCACAACAATTTGAAGCTCACTTATAATTCATAGGAAAGAAGACGATGGCATAACACAACAGATATTCATGTGCTTGGTTTTCCTGAAACAGGGCCTTCATCTAGCATCTTCAACTACCAAGCAATTGTGATAAGCAAAACAAAATTCTCAAATCTTCTTGAATTGAATTGGCTAGATCATGAATTCTCTACTCAGAAGGCAGTTGATACTGTTCTTAAAGCTGGTTGATGTGAATTTGGGTCTATCCTCATTTGTTGGCTGTCTCCTGTGCAATAGCTAGATTTCAAAAATTTTATTTGTCGGAGCTTCATGTTTTTTGTCACTTTACTTGACATTTAATTTTATTATATACCCTTCCATCATTCTTGTAATGAAACTTGCATGTTATTGTATTGTGCTGGGTGGCTACTTTAAGTTTCTTCTTCATTGTCAGTTCATCACCATTCAAGCTTGTTTATGCTCACCTTCTCCATGATGAAGTGGGACACATAATTTTATCAATCTTGCATAGGGCACATAGCTATTATTGCATTTAAACTTGAAATTTGTTGTCTTAAGTCTGTTGTGATACTTCTAAAATTGGTTATGTTAGCAAAATTCTTGGTAGTGAAAAACTGCATTTGAAGCTGCTTTTGTTGCACATGCATGAATTGTAATTTCTGATATGAAGCAGTTCGATGTATCAGGAAATATTGGTAGATAGAACTGTACATGCTGCTGTTGGCCGATTTTTGCCATCTCATTCTACTTTTGAAAGGCACGACATACCCAAGTTAATCAAGGACGACTTCTCTCGGGCAATGCACGAGTTCCTTCCAGTTTCTATGCGTGACATCACTAAATCTGCCCCTGAAGGTGGCCGTTCTGGGTGGGATGATGTTGGTGGTCTTAGTGACATAAGGAATGCTATTAGAGAGGTATGATTTTTTATTTCAACATGTTTAATGATCAAAAATGATTTTATGATTTGTGACTATATCATTTGCAGGTTGTGTTAACTGTTAATTTGTTGCTAACAGAAGATCCGCATTTCAATTATTTGCTTTCCCATTCATCTTAACTTCAAGTTGTAGGCTGTTTGAATATTGTGAAATGAGTATCACGCTAGTTGTAAGAAAAAAAGTGAGGCTTTGAAAAAAAGAAAAAAACACCTCTAGGCTCTGTGGATTAATTAAATAGAGAGGAATGCAAGAACTTCTAATGGAATTGTGCCATCATAGGAAATCTTTTTGGTTCCTCTGGAGTTAAATAGTTCTCTACATCGATGAGACAGCTCACTGCCCAGTAGTTTCAAATACTCATTTTATTCCTCACCTTAAGGTGCACACTGCATAGGCATATGGCCTTGGTAAAGGTGTATCACTCAAAATAGAATTTATTTTCAAGCTATTATCAATTCCTTGTATGATAAAATGCAGTCTTCTATACAAGTTTGCTCACATTTCAGACCAATGAAAAACTGTAAAGTTTTTGGGAATATTATTAATTTGAGTGCCAAATGACCCACAATACTGTAATTAAATCTAGAAATGTTGCTAAAATTATAGCTGTCATAATATTGAAAGCATGATGAAGAAGTATATGAAAAATCTGAAGAAAGCCTTATGTTAACTGTGAAAAGAATCATGATCCTCTCGGCCCATCCTGCATAGAAGAAGTTGTGTTTAGTCTTGATTTTTTGATGGGTGAAATACTGGGGTTGGAAGACCTATGAACATAGGATCTTACCAATGAGAAGTCGTGTTTCCAACTTTTTGACCTTTCAGGGCTTTCAAATTTGGATCATAAATTTTAGATAACCTGTGTGCTTATTGTTAGATATTTTGTATTTAGAGATTGCCACATCTCAATCACAGTGATGCTGAAAATTGAGTTACTTCATTGCATGGATTTGAATAACAGAACACTTCTCTTCCCCATTATCCACAATCCTTGAACTTGATACATGATGCTCATATTAATACTAACAACTAGGCCATGGAGAGGGCTGGTATAGATGATTACTGTATATAGCATTTCAATTTATGACATATCTGTAGTTGAGAAACTCCATTCTTATATATCCCTTCGCTTTTTTGTGAAGTTGAATTTGAATGCAGTCTCTCATGCAAGTTGAAGGCAGTGTATGCAACAAAAATAGATACATTTGTGTTAATGACACTCCTTATCCTTCTAAAGGACATTTCTCTTTAGCAATTCCTTTTTATGTCAACTGTTTTGGCTCATCTGATTCTACATTGAATTTGTTGACTATGGTACATAGGTTTGTTAGACTCCATCTGGTTTTCTGCTTTACTGTATAAGCACCTTGCTCTGGTGATTTCTGCTTTGAATAGGCTCCTTTTGTTTCAATAATTTTTTCCCTGATAGCGCAAATGTTTTTGAAGGATTTGAAACATTGTGTAAAATATGATTTTCTGAAGGAAAACTGAGTGTGTCAGTCACGCACAGACACCCTTTTTTTATCTTTATTTATTTATTTATTATTATTATTATTATTATTTTTTTT